AACCTTCCATACAGTGGTGGAGGTGCAGACTTCAAAAACATGTACAAATGTAGCACATATCGTTTCTCCTACACAGTCAGAAGTAGGGTTGCCATTCCCCTGGTGGGGGCCAGGGGATTCCCCCGATTTCAGGGGGCCCAATCCGCTGTCGGTGGGGGAAGCCTGGGAGTGATGTCATCATGTTTATAATGTTAGGGGTGATGCTCTGGGTTTTGGGCAAAACTCTAGGGTTTTGAGGGCCCCGCAAAACATAGAGTTTTGCCCCAAACCTAGTGTGTTGCCCCCAACATTGGAAACATGATGATGTCACTTCCAGGAGATGTCATTGCGGCGTGCATGCAAAGCACGCACACCAGAAGAACTCAAGGAAGGATCAGGACTCCTCCCATCAGCAGCCAGGTAGGACCTGACAACCCTAGTCAGGAGTGGAAGAAAAACAGGTCCCACTCTTCTCTACGTGAGTATATTGTAAATGCTTTAAAATGCATCCACATTCCTACTGTAGTCCTAAAGAGATAGGATGAGGATCATTTACTAAAAATTCCTCAACAAATCCAGAGATGATTGAGAGGCCTGCCAAGCAACTTTGTGTACAGAAGAATCTTTTCATAAATCAATTATCAATTTCTAGGACCCCAGTCATTGAGTTGCCTTATCTGAATGTATGCATATTAGAAATTAATATATTGTTGGTGGCTTGAGGGAATAAAATATTCTGGAAACTTGAAAAGATCTTGAGGGAAAAAAGAGACCGAAAACTACTTTTAAGCACTGAGTTTAAAAAAAATCACAAATCTATTTCCGGTGTTTAAGTAAAGGGGATTTCCTTAAGAAAACAACAGACACTTGACAGATATATTTATGCTTCTGAACAAAGCAGTTGTTGGAGAGAGGACAGGACATTGTTTTTTTTTTAATACTTTTTATTGCTTTTCTTCCTACACACTACAAAGACTATACCCTACAAAAACTAAAACTACAAAGAGTATCAAGAACCTTGGATAGGCTAATCAATGCTTTAAGTATATGTCTACATGCTAGAAATTTCATTCAATTCTTTAAAAACTAATAAAAATGTTCAAAAAGAAAGAACATAAAGGCATTTTTGATATTACATCATATCTGGTTGAGAATATAAGTAAGCCAACATAGGTAATCTCAGATCTTCACTAAGATTTCTTCTTAGCTTTGGTTTTCTTCTTCTTTTGCCAGGGGAGATTTACTTTAAAAGTTTTAGGGTCCGTATCTCCTAAATCCTAATCCGAGTCAGAGTCAAAGATTTCACCCAAAGACACGGAAGTAGCTGTAGAAAATGAACTATCCATATCGGATTTCTGTTGTTTGCTGTTTTTTCCGTTGCCTTTTCTTCCTCTGCTCCATTTCTTTGTTTGGTTGAAGATTGTTGCTGCTTAAGAAAGAGTTCTGCTTTTAATAGAGAGTCAATCTTTTCCTTCTTCTCCTAAAAGTTGAATATAAGTCCTTCTGGAAAAATCAATCTGTATTGGACATTGTTCTTTTGGAGGAATATTTCTGTACTGCTTCTTTTTCTTGCATATTTCAAATGGGACATCTTTCAATATTTTTATCTCCTCTTCTTGAATTTTAACTGTTGTCGCAGTTAAAAGTATTGAGTCTCTTATTGATCTTTTTGTAAATTTTACAAAACTTTCCCCTGGGAGATTATTTTCCCCCACAAACTGAATAGGTTCTGTAGATCATATCAATATCTGCTTGTATTAATTCAGATTTGTTATTGATTAAGGAAGCCATTGCTTCACTTATAATTTCTCTTAAATTCTCATCTGTTTTCTCTGGCACCCCTTGGAATCTCAAGACGAAAGAGGATCTTTCCATTTGTAGCTGTAAAAGTTGTTGCTTTTCAGAAGTTCTTTCTTTTTCCACTTTGTTCATTCTTTGGTCTATTTCTTTGGTCTTAATTTCAACCTTTTAAAAAAAAATTGGCTGACTTCTCTGATTTGGCTGCAGTTTCCTTGAGCTCTTTCTGTAACGTGTCGAATTTTTGGTTGAGGTTTGTAAGCTGGTCCAGCAGAGGGCGCATGGCTTCAGAAATTGCAGTAGCTAACTCGCTGGTATTTTCCGGTCTTGTGACTGGTGATTCTGTACTGGCATTTCCTGTAGAGCCTCTGCCTCTGGACGCCATTTTACTCCCACGCTGAGACATTGTTTATACTTAGGTAAAAGTTTATAAAAGTTCTGAGATCTTTACTATGTTGTAACTGCTTAACTCAGATGTATTGTGCTTTGAAAAGGGTGTTAATCACCTAAATCTGGCTTGCTTCTATGCTGCAACTTCACTGGTGGATAGGGTTCTTCCTCCGTGAGTTCCCCCTCCTTATCTCTTTGAAGCTATGCCGATTTGTTATGCCAATTTCTTCCACCACCCTTTTTGTATATGACTTTCTCTTTGTCACTTAACTCACTGTTTGATTAATCTCTGGATCGCTTTGTCTCATATTCTTTTTAATTAAGTCCTTGTACGCTCTGGTCTGGTAACGTCTCTGAGAGCCATTGCTGGCCTCGGGACAGCGGGACCTATCAGAGCAAAAAGGAGCACTGTGCCCCCAAGCCGGAACTTCAGGAGTGGCCCCTTCAGCACTCCAGGCTAGAAGTCCCCTCTCGGAGCTTCATGGGAAGGTCAGGACCAGCCGATCCCCCTCCCTGCCACCCCAATCTGACTCGCCCCCATCAGAACCTGATGGGGTGCGACTGTCGCGAGTCGCCGTTCACAGGAAATCCCCAGGACATTGTTAAATGCAAAAATTCTTACAAAGAAAAATAAAGATTTCAGAGAGAGATTCTGAAAACCTTGCTTCTAGATTTCTATAACACGTTCTGCAGGGGGCTGCCCAAGGGTTTCCAGATTGCCCACTATGGCAGGAAACCTCCTGGCAAACCCAGTCATTGCTTCCCAGAGCATGAAACACTGAGACCGATTCTGCAAAAGCAGTAGTTCCACCCTCGGTCTCCTGTTTTCCCCAGTTGTACTACTCAATTTTCCACTATTTGCTGTGTGGCCGCATTTTGCCCTGCATCCTTGATCCTTAGCTGCCCTCAGCCTGCTTCGGCAGAGAGGGTTGGATATAAATCAAATAAATAAATAAATAAGGGGACAGCTCCTTATATTAGAAATCATACATAGGAAATCAAGTGATGTACCATCATAAATATATTTTAAAAGAATCAGAAATGTTTAGTTGAAGATTGTATATATATTCTTATAACCACCCTATTTATTCTGCTGGTCTGTGACCGTAGTAAGTTATTGATTGATTGACTGATCCTCTTTATACAGGGAAAAGAACAACCCCTGCTCCCATTTAAGTCCTAATTAATGTTATCAAGTCTCTTCCACATCACTCTGTATATGTTTTTCTGGTTTTCTGAAGGATGGCCACACTGGGGTCTAATGAAACATCCTAATTTGTTTACTCACATGGGTTTTTAAAGTTCCACATTTTTTCCACTGAATTTATATCCATTCATTATTTTTTGTAAAAGTAGCCTTGTCAGGTCAGTATATACAACAGGCTCTTACTTCAGGAATTCTATGTATTCATTGGGATACAGATATAAGCATCAGAATTGGAAATACAGGATTTTCAATCTGGAAAAATAACTGATACTTTAACCATCTGCCCATCCTAAACCAAATTAAGAATAGAAGAACTTAAAATGAAATTCACACTATGAGCTTGCTATGTAATGAGCAGAACATGAAGCAAGGTCATCCCTATAGACTGTGGGTCCTGGGATGTGGGTGCCACATCCCCCTAGCCTCGCAAGATATCCAAGTCTCAGGAGACTGGCACTGCTGATTACCTGGGCAGCACTCTGTATAGATCATGCTGCCAGCAGCTTGCACTTGCAGCCCCAAGCTGCCATGACGATCACCTGCCCTGCACAGATCCTACTGCCTAGCTGACTGGTGGCTTTTTGCGGGGAAGCAGAGGACATCCCAAGAGTGCAGCCTTTGGGACAGTGGTCTCAATTCAATCTCCCCAAGGGCCAAGTCTGCCTGAAACAATCATTACGTTGGTTGGAAATAGGTTAGCTGCTTTGTTCCAAACAGACATGCCACTAATAAACGTTCAGGTTTCTAAAACAAAAAAGGTAAATTAGTTGTAAAAATGGTTGATGCCACTTAAAGTACATTTCTAAAAAAGCATATGATATAGATTTTGCTTATTATCTGCCTCTCAACTTGCTCTGCCCCTCAAGTATTTTTCAGTCCAGTCACTAAACATTTTGACCACTTTCACCTTTTTAGCATTACATGTTATAACCAATATGGAACAAACTTCTTTGTTCCTGGTTTGGACATGAACTGACATCAAAAGAACAAATTCAGCACCTATGTCATTACAACTATGGCTGCATCCACATGGCAAGGATTCTTGGTGTTCCTTCCACTGCTGTTGTGAATGCAGGGGGATTCACAGAGGAAATGGGGCACCCATTCAGAAGC